CGGTCCTCACGGCGCCGGGAGCAGCCGAGGCGCCAGTTTAGCTGTGAACGTGTGAAGACTAAGATTTTTGCTCGTAGTGCTTACTCAATATGGCGTTTTGTTCTCTCCTTTTTGAAATGGCAAGATCCCCCCCTCACACCATTCACTGACAAAGCTCATGAGGCCAAGTCACTCGGTGCGTGTCGTACACAGCAGTCGCTAGGTGGTTCATAATGAATAGATCCCATGCATTGTGTATCACTCCAGTCTATCTCGCCATCAAATCCTCCTCATCCGGCGTGGGCCTCTGCTCGATGCTCGTCGTCTGTCCAAAATGCATGTTCTCCTCGTTCAACGCTAGAATCCCAGTGCGAAAACCCTTCAATCCGCTTTGCAATGCCCCAGTAGCTCCCGACTCCGTAGCCCAAGTCATGTCCCTTGCGTGGCGAGGCTTGTGCCGACGAATACCATCATGTTAGTACTCCAATCCACCAAAACTCTTATTCCTGGTCAGAGTTGCCCTCTGTAGGGTGGCACGGGGCAAATGTCCGTAACTGCGGCTTCGAGCTGTCATCGGCCGGCTCCCTTCTCCGTCTCCTTCCTCGGCTGCCGCCGTGGCGTCCAGCGGCATGGATGTGTTCTCGTGAATGCTCGCCACGAAGAAGGACGAGACGAGAACCGCAATGCCACCCAGTGCCAGGACGACGGAGATGGAGTGGTCGCCCGGTGTTCCCCTTGGCTTCTGCCAGATCCGGAAGATGATGCTCGAACCAATGGTAGCGATGATCTGCGGTGCCGCAATGGCCATGTTGTGAATACCGAGAATGACACCCGCCTGGTCCATCTCTTCATCGTCGCTTTGGATATTTTGGATCGAGTGTCGATCTCTCCTCACATGCACGTCGGATGAGACACTTTCGCTGCTGCTGCCGTGAGCTGAACGTTCATTGCTCGGACGGCGTTGCTTCGTGGCGCGGACCATCGCATCTCGTCGACTGATCTCCGCGCTGATGATGGCCCAGGGAGCCCAGAGCGTCATGGCCCAGGTGATACCCACCAAGCCGATCAGAGCTGTGGCAGCCTCGACCGTCCTGACGATGACGGTACAGAACATGGCCCCAGCAAACAAGACCAACGACCCAAACCATGCCCTCTTCAGAGTGAAACCGGGGATTTGAAGGCGGTCGAGCCACGGCGGGCTATCGTCGTCGTAGTACTTCGGTCCCATATCCGATTCCCCAGGTACATCACCAACCACTGGGTGGCTGTCGTATGTCGGGGCAATGAAGAAGGGGAGCAAGACGTTTGTCAGAAGACTGACAAGTGAATTGATCAGAAGCGCAAAAGTGCCGACTTGCGTTGCTTGTTCATACAGCTCGTCGAGTTCTTCAGGCGACATGTGCGGATTTGCCTGCAAATAGGGCTCCACATAGATCTCGCCAATGTACGAAGACGTATAGAAGAGCAAGGGAAAGAAGCCGATCCAGGCACAAAACTGAACCTGGCAAACCTTCTTGACCTGGGGTGGCAGTCGTTTGATGGAGGTGAAGATCTTGGCGAAGAAGGACAAGACTCCTGAATCGGCCTTGGCGGGGGGCCCATCCAGTCGGGGATCCCGCTCCTTGATCAGAATGGTGCTCAGGGCGACAGTGGCTGCTAGCGCAATGCTTGCGATGGCACAAAGGATCTTGAACTGCGAGTCGCCGAGGAACCAGAGGCGTGGGGGTAGGTTGACATATCCAGCGCAGTATCCAATAATGTTGCCGAATCCTACGATCCTGCTCGCCATGGCGTTGGCTGCCTCCTGTTGATGCGGGGGGGCACAGTCGACGATGAAATGCCCTGATGGCGGCCTGCACCGTATTGATGGCAAAGTCAAGAATATAGATACCAGCGACGGCGGCGCAGATGATGGCGATTCTGACGCCCTGAGATTCGGGATGGGCTCCAAAAAGACCAAGAACATTTCCGACAATCTCCTTGGTCCACGCCAAGAACATCAGAGAGATGATGGTGGCGATGGTACCGCCGACCATGAAGGGTTTGCGCTTGCCCCAAGGAACGCGGCAGTTGTCGCTGAGCATGCCGACATAGGGCTGCACCAGGGTGCCGGTGAGGGGCCCAGCTATCCAGACCAAGGCCATTAGGGACTTGCTCAGGCCGAGCGACAGCAAGTAGGGCGAGCCGTTGGACAGTTCTACTGACCAGGCAATCTGTAGGCCTCCGATGCTGATCGTCAGGAGTATGAGATACCAAACACTCTTGGTCTGCTGTGAGTCGTCGTTGTCGCCGAGGACGGTATTCCCATCGCCCAGGTCATCGTCGTCCGGGCCAGGGCGAAGCAGCGGCGAGCGTTCGCTTGCCATGGGATCACGTGTTTGATCGAAGGAGCCGTTCCGCGGCGTGCTGCCTGTAAGAGTCGGCGTCAAGTTGCTGTTGGCTTGCGAAGGAGGTTCGCTCTGGTTGACAGCAGGTGTTGGACGCCCTCTCGAGGAAAGTTCATTCTGGGGGATGGGCATTTCGTGGGCTTGCTTAATCGACTGGCTGCTGATCGATTGATTGATTGATCGGTTCAAATCCCGAAACGTCAAAGGTGACGATTCGAAGGAAACGGGTAAAGTTACTGCGGTGATGGACTTGGACGTCAGCGTCCGATCGAGGCGTGAGGCATCGGTCCTGAAGGGCGGGGTTGCGCGGGTTTAGTTTGATACAAGGTGAGGTGGAAGAGTAGTCGAACACGCCATATACCGTTCGACCAGCACGGGAATTCCGTGATGAAATCAACGGTTTCCAGGCAAAACGGATGGACGAGTCCTCAATGATCTGTCAGATCCGGCGGCCGTCATGCGGTCAAGTCAGAGGACGCCACGAGACACGAGACGGCTGGGTGATTTGGGATCGCACGCGGAGGAGTTGGGAAAGACACAGAGGGTGTGCGTCATTCGTTCCAGGGACCGGTGCCTGCAGACTGCAGCTGGACGTAGGCGAATGGGGTGGTGTAGGTCCGGAGAAGAGGGTGTGGCCACGTCCTTGTGTCTGGTGCTTGAGTGAGGTGAGCTTGGCTTGCTTGGGTGGAGTTGCAGGTAGATCATGCGGCACTCGTGGTTCCTGTCCTGGTGAGTGCAGTTGGGTGTTGGTGATGGAGGTACTGGTGGTGGTACTGGTGGTACTGGTGGTGGTAAGTGAATAAGTGAGGGCTGTCTGATGGCAAGTGGCAGATGGTCGATTTGGAAGCAGTGAGTGCTGCCCGAGGCTCAGCTCGTGACAAGGCCAGGTTGGAGAAGGCGCAGGAACGGTCAGCCTGCTCGTGAGAGCTTCGGACCTTTCAAAGGCGCAGCACCCACCCACTACATTGTACATTATACATTGTACACTAATACTATCCAAAACCTACATCATACAGTGCGGGCGCATAGACAAATAGCGACAGCGCGGGCCAAGTGCGGGGGCTCTGTCGCCCGCTGGGACACAGGTAGCTCAGGTACCTTTCCGCTAGAACCTTCCCCCCCTGTACAGTTAACCTCGGAATGCCGGCCTGAAGCGGCCCTGGTGTTTGGGTGCTCGACCCCCCCCACCCCGCTTATCTATCTTGGACATGTCAAGATCACAGTCGAAATGTTGTACCAATTCTTGACTATCATATTACCCTGCTCGCTTCGTCAAGGCCCTGGATGATCGATTCAGCCCAAAAATGACGCGGTCATTGGCCCGGAGAAATGATGGTGAGTACCTCACCCAGAGTCCTCGAGCGGCTGACTGGCTGTGCTCCTTCCCATTCTTCCCCCATTCAGCCTCTCCCGTTGATTGAATCGATGAGACGTTGAGACTGATTGACTTGCTCAGGGTGCTATGAGTGTTGCAGGAGACGACTACGATGTGATAAGACGGAGCCATCATGTTTGAAATGTCAGAAGAAGGGCATTCCGTGCTCTGGCCAAGGCTTGCGCTGCCGGTTCAGCAGCCACATGGCCACAGCGGCTTCGCCTGCCTCCAGGGCAAAGAAGAAGAGTGCATCGCGAACATCACAATCACCCGTACCATCGAACCCATCTTCGTCTTCATCAACACCATGTACCGCTTCCTCTCCTTTAACCTTAGGGTCTCTACTGGACCCAGCCGGTCAAGAGACCATGGCTTTGGTTCCGGTACACGCTTCCACACTGGATCCAGCATCCTTCTCATCACTAGCCAGACGAGACTTTATGCCTCTCAGAGCTGCTCCAGATGAGCCGCTGCATCCTCAGGCCAGGATGCTGATGAGCCACTGTACATTCCTTCACCACCCTCTTCTCTCCTGCCTGGCTGACGATTGCTAGTCTGTGACCACATAGCCCCAGTCATGGTAGTCCTTGACTTCGCGGGAAATGGGTATCGAGATGTCATCTTGCCCCTGGCTATGCAGAATGATGTGCTTCGGCGAGCGATATCCGTCGTGGCAGCTTTTCATCTGGCGCAAAAGGCCCCGCACCTACAACAGACGGCTCTGGCAGGACACCAAGCCATTGTGCAGAAGTTGAGGCGAGACTCCCTCATGCTCCGCCCGGATCAACTCTTCACGCCCTACACCTGGGCCACGATTGTTGTACTTCTCGTCGGCGAGACGATCACCGGGGCTGACAACTTTGTCTACCTGCTCGAGATGCTCACATGCCTGCGGCAGTCTCCTGAAGCCATCGCGGCGCTGCCTCTCGCCCTGAGGGACTTTTTTGTGCAGCAGGTCAAAATGTGAGCGATCCCAATGCCAAGATCACACAATGTCGCTCATAAAACTGAACAGGTTCGAGTTGTTCGGCTTTCCATTATCAGATGAGACAAAAGGCCTCGATGTCTTGCAGAAACCGCCCGATAACTACATGGACTTCATCGCCTATCCATCCCTTTCCCCCGGCTCCGAGCTCCAGTCCAACGTGCAGATAATGCGAGGCGCCATCCGAGATGCCTGTGAGCTTTACAGGAGGCGCGCCCTTTCCTCCTCGTCAACAGAGGACTCGGTATCACTCGTCGAATGGCTTCGCCAACGAGTCTCCCACTAGATGCCCACACCCCTGG